AGGCCCTGATGTATTAGAGGATTTTGAGAGGTTTATCTAAGTTTGTATTGTTAGAATCTCGTATTTTAGAACCACTTTTATTTGAGGAAACATCAGTATACTCAGATCATTACCTTTGAAACTACAGAGGGCTCTGACCTAGCTCAAGAAGCCCCAAAAGTATGTTATTACTGTAAACAAACAGGGCATATCAAGAAAGACTGTAAAGATCTTAAGGTCTCAATCAAATCCAGACAAAGACTGAAAGAGTATAAAAAACAAAGAGAACTTAAGACTGAGAGCTAGAGCCAAGATGAATCCAAAACACAAATGCAATTTAGTCCAGAAAACCCTTATGTTTCAGAAATAGTTCTAGAAAACACTGATAAGAGCTCTACAGAAATACAAGAAATATTCCAACCAGTAACAGAGACAACTATGGCAGAGACAATTCAGACAGGAGAATTCAATCCTACAGAAGCAATGGCAGAAACAAATGAGATGGAAACAACTGAAAACGAACCAGAAGCCACAAATATATCTACAAATAATGATTTAGAAAATATAAAAACAAGACCAAGGAAGGAGGCTATTTTCCATTTACTAGAGTCAACAAAATGGACAAGATAAACAACTCTCAAAGGGTTTTTTCTTCTCACGTTTAATTAATAAAACAACCACAAGTGTGGCTTAATATACATTGATTAATCTATGATCAAGATTGCCACACTGAACATAAAAGGCCTTAATAACAATATAAAGGTTCAAAAAACATTAACTTTACTAAAATCCTACAAATTAGACTTAATACTTTTACAAGAAACAAATCTTAAAGATACTACAACAAAAAGATTCCTTTGCAGCAATAGGGATATGACTCAATTTGAATCTCCAAAACAGCCATTCTGGCTAGAAAAGCAAATATCAGGTTTTTTGAAACACAAGTCTCACACAATGATCAAGTAATCTTAACAAAACTAACATACAAGCACTGCCAATATGCTATTACAAACATTTATACTTCTCCAAGCCATAAAGACAGATATCAATTCTTTAACAACTAGGCTTCAATACTAGACACAAATGCTCTAAACATTATAGCAGGTGACTTTAACACAAATCTGGATCCTAGAATTAACCGTATTAGTCAAGCAGCTATACAAAATGACAACTCAAGAGATCTACTACTAGAACTTCTAAAAGACTTTATAGATACAGCAAGCTTCTCGAAAGATAACCCTTTTCTAACTTTTTACCAGAATATACAGGGCAACCAAAAAATAGCCACTAGATTGGACTATATATTCATAGACACTAACTATAGCTGTCTTAATTTTGAAACCCAAATACACTTTGGCAACTCAGACCACTTATTAGTAGAAAGCCAAATTTCAAGCAAATTTAAGCACAAAACTACATTTTGTTGGTGATTTAACAAGAGCCTACAAACCCAAGCCTTCACCAGAAAGAAGAATCCAACAACTTTATAAAAGTTAAACAACAAATTTGCCAAAAACCCTGAACATAGAGACTACAACCTCCTTGCTGAACACACCAAAGCTCAAATCCAGGAAAAACTGACATCTCTTTCAGAAAAATGGCAAATAAGATCTAATACTAAATGGATCGAAGAAGAAGAAAAGTCCACAAGATACTTTTTTTCACTTTACAAGTCCAAGCATACAATTACAAGT